CGGCTGTGCCTGAGACCGTCTCCCTGGGGGGGCTGGAGGTGGGGTGGTCGGAGACCCGGGCACTTTCAGCGTCCAGGCAAGACGGCTCTCGCGGGGGCTGTGCCCATTTCCCGGAGCGGGCGACCGAGACCCGGGGAGAACTGCGCCCTTTTGGAGGCCAGCCAGCTCCAGCCCTGCCAGGCTTGGGGGTGACAGAGATGGGTACGGACGCCCCCCCCCCCCCGGTGTCTTGGCAGTGGGGTCAGACTGGGAGAGGCACGACGGGCAAGCCTGGAGGTAGCGGGGACCCCCCCCCCCCGGTGTCTTGCAGTGGGGTCAGGACTGGGGAGAGGCACGACGGGCAAGGGGGAGCCCGGAAGGGGTAGCGGGAGGGCTTCTTGGAAGAGGCGGTGTTGAGCTTTATCTTCTATTCTCTCTTTACTTTTGCATCCAATCAACCACGTGGGTCTGGATTCCGCCCTAAACGTACCCCCTTGTCCATCCGGAGCCACTCCCCGGATCCCTGCCTGAGTTCCTTGCTTATCGCACCCCTACAGTTCGCCTCTTATCCACAGATCAGCGCCTCCCGGTTCTAACACCCTCCGCATGTTTTCATCACCCTGAAATACAGATCCCCGCTTCGCAGCCTGCCTCCCCCACCCTCCTGGGGGCTCGGGAGCCCCTGACCCCTTCAGGCCTTTTCTTAGATGTCTCCTTCAGGAAGCCCTTTAACCCCAGTCTGGGTCAGAAACCCCCCTCGGGGCTTCCCCAGCGCCCTGCATGTCCCCATCACAGTTCTTATGGCAAGTTGTCACTCTTACTGTCTAAGCCCTAGCCAGCCTGGCGGTCAGATGGGTGCTGCTTCGCTACCCAGTGTCCCACGCGTACTAGGTGCTCGGTGCGTGTTTACTGAACGACAGCGTAAGTGTTTACCACAACAGAAGAGAAGCTGTCTGTGTAAAGCTCGGGCTGCCATCAAAAAATACCACAGACGGGCGGCCTAAACAACAGGAATTTCTGTGCTCACGGTTCTGGAAGGGAGGAAATGCACGATCCAAGTGCCCCCCAGTTTGGTTCCTGACGCAGGCACCCTTCCTGACTTGCAAATGGCCACCTTCTCAGCCGTGTCCTCACGTGGTGCGGAGAGCAAGCCCTGGTGTCTTTTGCAATGATAGGGGCACCAGCCCCATTAGATTAGGGCCCCACCCTTATGACTTCGCTTAATCGCTATGGCTCCCTCACTGGCCCTGTCTCCAAAGACAGTCGTCTTGAGGGTTAGGGCTTGTTGAGCCCCTACTGTACTGGGCAGTGGGGACCCAGTAGGGACCAAGGCAGTCCCTGCCTTCGCAGAACTCCCAGCCTGGTGGGAAACATGGACATTTGTCAAATAATCATATACGTGAACATAAAATAGCAACCCAGACGAGGGCCTCAAAGAGAAGCTTGTGGTCTGAGAGAGGGTGTCTCAGGGAAGGCTTCATGGAGGCAGACACACCTGATGTAGGCCCTGAAATTTAAATAGGAGTTAACTGGGGCTCCTGGATGGCTCGGTCGGCGAAGCGTCCGACTTCGGCTCAGGGCGTGATCTCACGGGTCCTGAGTTCAAACCCCACGTCTGGCCCTGTGCTGACGGCTCGGAACCTGGAGCCTGCTTTGGATTGTGTGTCTCCCTCTCTGTCTCTGTCTCTGTCTCTGTCTCTCAAAAATAAATAACCATTAAAAAAATGAAAATAAATAAATAGTCAATTGGGTAAAAAGAGGTGTGAAGAGCAGCCAGGTGGAGGATGCAGCAAGTGCAAAGGCCCTGAGGTGGGAACCTGCAGTATGTTTGGAAGATGGCAGGGAGGCTGGTGTGGCTGCCACCAGTGAGTGAGGGGAAGATGGAGAGTAGGGTGGCAGGTTTTCTCTCTTTAAAGTTTATTCAGAGAGAGAGAGAGCGCGCACGCACACAAGTGGGAGAGGGGCAGAGAGAGGGAGAGAATCCCAAGCAGGCTTCACACTGTGTGGATCCCCACGTGGGGCTCGACCCAGGAGATCATGACCTGGGCCAAAACCAAGAATCAGAAGCTCGATCCAATCGAGCGCCCCAGGCGCCCCGGGTGGGGAGTTTTCTAGTCTGTAACTTGGACAGTGACTCCCAATTCTTGGCACTCCCCTGGAGAATCCAGGGTGGGGGTGGTTCTATTGAGTGTACTGTGGACACTCAGTAATGAATGCTGACTTAGGTGGTCAAGGAGCAGCTGGGAGGCCCGTGGGATCAGGCCAGCATATCCCCCCGTGGCAGCTCTTAAATCCAGGGGGTTGGGAGAGGGACTGGGATCCATGCTGTGTCTCAGCTCAAGGGGAGCACTTCAGCTGTGATCGCAGCTCTGAGTCTCCTGGGTCCACTGATTGCCCCTACTTTGCCTTGCTCTGCCCCATGGGGCCCTCTCCTCAGTCTCAGCCTGGACCACCTGGCCAGGAGGCCACCCCTTGATGTTACGTGGGG